CACACACACACACACAATATTCTTCCATCAAAATGAATAAACATTATAAATGGTAACATACATTTATTCACTTTCTTAATGCACAATATATATATTTTTGGAGTAAAAAAACTCTAATGTACAACCCACTCTAGATATTCTTTGTTGATGCACTATAGGGAGAGCAAGAATGCATGAAGTTGACTTGTTCACTTGACAGATAATCTGAACACATAGTATATGCTAGAATTGTGTTAGGCAATGCCATTAGGAATAAGACAGACATGCTTTCTGCCCTTGTGAAGCCAACTGTCTAATTGAAGAAACTGCCACATAAGCTACTGCAACAGAGGATGACAAATACTGATAGGGGAAGTACAGGGCTCTCTGGATCAGGAGTCAGAAACACTCTCCTGGAGGACATGATGGCTGTGGAGACATTCAGGCTGTGGACCTGTTGGTGGGGAGGGGTTAACATTCTATACAGGTAAAGCATGTGTAGAATTCTAAGTGAGAAAGCATTTCTCTCTCAGGTGGAACTGAAAAATAAATTCAGTATTGCTGAGTCTTGGAAAGGGAGGGTGGTAATATAAGGAGAGGAAATATGAAAGAACCAGTTTACGAAGGGCCTTGTAAAACATATTAAGGAGAAAAGGAATTTATCATATGGCAACAGGAAGCCACTGAAAAGATTTAGGCCATGGAGATCAAAGTTATTGTTTGAAAGATTATTCTGACTATAAACTGTAAAAATTAAGGCAGAGAGACCATTGAGAAATCTGAGACAGCAATCTAGGTGAGATGATGATGATGGTATAGTGCAGGGGTGGGCAAACTTTTTGACTCGAGGGCCACAATGGGTTCTTAAACTGGACCGGAGGGCCGGAACAAAAGCATGGATGGAGTGTTTGTGTGAACTAATATAAATTCAAAGTAAACATCATTACATAAAAGGGTACGGTCTTTTTTTTTTTTTTTTTAGTTGTATTCATTTCAAACGGGCCGGATCCGGCCCGCAGGCCGTAGTTTGCCCACGGCTGGTATAGTGGGAATGGGGAGAAGTGAAAAGAGTACCATTTTAGGAATTAAAATAGGCAGGGCTTAGTGACTGATTTTATAGATGGGCAGGGTGGGAGGGGATTCTGCCATTTGCTGAGATTGGAAACAGAAAGAAGAAAGGGTTTAGGAGAAGGATCCTGAGTTCCTTTTTTGAACAGACTGAATTTGAGGTACTAAGGGAAAAGCAAGTACAAATGTTGGGCAAGCAAGTGAATGTTTAGATCTGATACTCTGTGCAGTGCTCTTTACTGGAGATGCAGACAGGAGAGTTTTTAGTATGAAATGGTAACGAAAGCCCTGGGAGCGGTGATGTTGCCCAAGGCAACGTGTAGTGATGAGAGAACAGGCTGTTGGGAAAAACCCTAAGGAACACCAAAGTTAGGGAGAGAAATAGGAGCTCTCAGTTCAGCAATAATTTTGAAACCATAATTTGTACATTATTTTATATTCTCCTTGGCCAACTCTATTACCAGAAGTACTAACAGCTATGAAAGTCTTATTTGATTTTTGCCCTTCTCTTACCTTACAAAGCCATAAATTGGCAATGAAAGCATTTAAAATTAATCTACAAGCCAAACAAACATCCCTTGGTTGCTCAATACCTAGCTTTGGCTATGCTGAGCTTTCTACTCTACAACAAATCTTTACTCATGCTGCAATTTGCCCTCCCTCAGTTCTGTGGCTGTTTCTTATTTCTGATTGTCTTTAATGGATTTGCAGCTCAGTGACAGCCAGGAGAGATTTTCTCTGATCAAAATGTCTGACTAAACAGAAATATGTCTGTCAAAAGATGACCCTGGTCCATAATTTCCACATGGAAAAGATCAAAATACATTTTTGGACGGGCCCAGGGGGATTTGCCTCAATATACTTCCTTTTGTATCTGTGGGAGTAGAAATGGGTATGTGGTCTCCAGAGTGGCTAATCACTGGTGTGCAGATATATGTTTAACAATTGGCTGGCCAGGAAAAAAGAGCCCTGAGTTGTTGTGTTTGCCAATTTTTAAAGTATAAACACCACCACAACCACCACCGACAACTGCAAGCTACCAACTCAATGTCACTGAAAACAGAGTAGGGGGAAATGTACACAGTTAGCTTTTGCAAGCCAGTGTGAGCTAGCTCCAGCACATTAATGGACCAAGAATGGTCTGACTGGCCGCCAGGAATGGGAAATTACCTTGTATATAACAGCTTAGGATATGAGAAGGGCAAATTCTAATACTGAATTTTTATTCTGATGAAAATTGATTCATTCACCTATATTCAGTTTATTTGTAGATCTTTTGCCTTTGAATTAAAAGCTGGTGGTATGAGTAATGTATCAATAACTTAGCATTTGTCAACTTATATATATTTTTTATAAGTGATAAGTTTCTAAAATTGATTTGTATATGAAATTGAAATAATTAAGAATCATTTTCAATCTACTTCTTTATACCATGAACCAAAGAAATGACCAGTTTCTTTTTATTTTGGGGTATCAGAATACTTTGCATTCTAATATATTTCATTAAAAAATATTTTATTTCCAGCAAATAAGCAAAGTTTGCCTTTTCCTTATCAAAGCAAACACTTTGATGGTATACTGATGTAACGAATAATATATGCAGAAAGAATAGCAGCAAAATATCTAATTTCTTTATATAATTTAATATATACACTATTAACACATTGTGCAGAAACAGTATTGTTAGTATACTAAATAATTACTATTAAAACTTACTTTTAAAATACTTTCAACATCAGGCACTGGTGGAACCAGAGTTGTTATTATGCATACTATGTATTTTTCACATTCCAAAGGGAAATTAAAATTCCTGGTAGCATAGAAAAGAATGCACATTTTAATATTTAATGCAGGTATAAAAAATCTCATGGCTTCTATTAAAAACTTCACAATTCCACTGTGCACAAATGAAGACAGCTTTTCAAATAACTTACACTTGGCCGAATTTATAAAGGTGACCATAAACATACTGCAAGCCCAATGAAAACACAATGGTATAATACAAAATCTTTTTTCAAAGTCACTTTAAAAGGCCTATATTTATACAAATGTACAATATGTTTTAGTACCTAATGACTGGTATTTTTGTTCAGGATTATCTGATTTAAAAAATCTAACTTGAATATTTTTCATTAATTTTCTGCTTCAGAATAGAAAACATCGAGACTTATAGAATAAATTTAAAAAACAGGATTGGGTAAAAAATTCACAAAGTGGACTAGTATACACTTTACATCATTTAGTGATTGCCCTGCCAAAGGTAAAAATGCCCCAATGTTCCATTTTCCTCTTATTTAACTTGAATTTTTAGATAATTATCTTAACTACCTCTCCTTTGTATATATAGAAACTCTTTGAGACAAAAGTGTAAAAATTGTAGGTTCTCTGACAAAAATCCAAAGTGTCACTAAGCCATTTTCCATTTGCAAAGTGTATTTAAAGAAATGCTTATCTATACTAATAAAAGGGTAATATGCTAATTAGACCAGATGTCTTCCGGATGTCCTTCCGGACAAAGCCACGGTGGCAGGGGCCAAGGCAGAGGCAGTTAGGGGCGATCAGGCCAGCAGGAGAGAGCAGTTGGGGGTGATCAGGCTGGCAGGGGAGGGCAGTAAGGGGCAATTAGGCCAGCAGGGGAGGGCAGTTGGGTGCGATCAGGCCAGTAGGGGAGGGCAGTTGGGGGTGATCAGGTCGGCAGGGGAGGGCAGTTGGGGGTGATCAGGTTGGCAGGGGAGGGCAGTTGGGGACAATCAGGCCAGCAGGGGAGCAGTTAGGGGGCGATCAGACCAGTGGGGGAGGACAGTTGGGTGCAATCAGGCTGGCAGGGGAGGGCAGTTGGGGATGATCAGGCTGGCAGGGGAGCAGTTAGGGGGCGATCAGGCCAGCAGGCAGAGGCAGTTAGGGGTGATCAAGATGGCAGGGGAGGGCAGCTAGGGGGCAATCAGGCCAACAGGGGAGCAGTTAGGGGGTGATCAGACTGGCAGGCAGGCAAGCGGTTAGGAGCCAGCGGCCCTGGATTGTGAGAGGGATGTCCGACTGTCCCTGTGGGATTGGGCCTAAACCGGCAGTTGGACATCCCCCGAGGGGTCCCAGATTGGAGAGGGTGCAGGCCAGGCTGAGGGACTCCCCCTCCCGTGCACAAATTTCACGCACTGGGCCTCTAGTTTCAATATAAAATCCCAAAGTGCTGAATGAAGACACATTAATCATTCCACTTTAGCCTTACAGGAATATTATTACAATTGGCTGTTAAATTCCATTTAAGCATTTGGTTTTTATTCTGTAATACTGTAATTTCCAATACATATATCAAAGAAATGAACTGACCCCCCACCCCCTCAAAACAATAGTTAAGTATTTCAGCTATAATACAAATCAATTTTTTTGGGGAAAAAGTAATTCATGCCAAGATAAATTTATTTTTAAAGTCTTAGAATAATTTTTATAAAAGAACTATAAAATATAAATTTTGAAAAAACAAAAACACTGCAAATGTCTCTCTCTAGGAAAAAATATGCAACTTGTTAGGTACAAGAAAATATAGCATTACTATGGGATATAACTAACTATGGATCTGGCTTATGAGACTTTAAAAACTCACAAAAAGTAATTAGCACCAAAATTATCTAAAACTTCAAATGATATACTGAAGTGATTCCAGGCCCACATGTTTCATTGTAAAAAAAGTTATATTTAACTTGGGAAGTTTCCCAAGCAATAAGAAATATATTATTGTCAATCTGTAGAAGATGTGCTAACTTTACTGATTTTCAAAAAGATGTTAAGGTAGTGTATAGTAATTATCATATACAATGGTCTGGGCTGAGCAGGGACAATAGAAGTCCAAATTATTTCCCAAATAATATGGGGTTATTTGGTTGGAGTGGGTAGGGAGAAATTCCCCAAGTACAACTTATTTTTAGCTTATTGTTTCATCATTTTTCTTCTAAAATATTTTACTGGAGCTCTTTATAAGACCCATATTGCCCAATTTGAACTCCATATCCTGTTATTTTCCCTGCTCACTTGGTGGTGGTATTTAAGATTTGGCATGGAAATAGGGATATTTAAAAATGGGCACAGATTATAGTATTAAAACAAGAGTTTTGAATAAGCTACAAGATGTATATTGAACCCTGTTATAATCAAGAGTTGAGTTTTATTTTAAACAATATCCACTTATAATTATATTATAAAACAGCACACAATTTGAAACAAGGCAAACTTTTTGGCTTTCATGTCGTGAAATATATAACTTCACTAATTATTTTTTATATGGCTACCAAATGTCAACCAACAGCTCATTCGGCCATATTTTAATGTTGTACATAAATAATGACAAGGCAAAGAACAGCAACTAGTCCAAAGGCTTGTAGGCCAAGGAACCACAGCATAACCCAAAAGAAAATGACGATCACTGGTTCCACAATCCGTTCTCCAAGGTACATCCTCGTAAAGCCCATGTTGATGAGGTTTTTGTTCAGCTCACCAAAAAGTGTTCCCATCTTTTTGTAGTCATCTCCAACAGCATCGCCAGCATGGTTCTGTGATTCTTCACAATCCTTTAAAGACAAACAGACAAAACAAAACATAAACATGAAAATGAGAAATAGGTGAAGGTTTTTAAGAATAAAGGCTATCTCATAATTCTTCATCTCCCAAAGTACTGGAAGTAATGATTATACTTCTGATAATCATTCAATAAATACTTGGAATGTTCCTTTTGATCGACATATAGAACAACTGTGCCTGTGCTCACCTTTCAAGAATGTGGAAAGCACTGATTTATTTTCTGTGAAAATCAGCATTGACTGGATCTTCAACTACCAGAACACTGATTTACAAGATGAAGGAAGGACCTGATTAATATTCATTTTCTAGTTTCCTGGAATTGCACAAAGACAGCTAGCTGCTTACCTGAAGAGCCATGTTTGTATTGCTCTTATCAGTGGCCACAATTTCAAAACAACATTTTCCCAGCAACCTCCTTTTTTGAGGCAGGGCCCTGGATTTGTAAGTAAGCTTTTTTTTTAGTGTGTTCCTTTGACACTAAGACTTTAAGGATCCTAGCCTCAGCTGACTGGAGCATATCTTGCTGCTACTATTGAGCAATCCTTAGTCATTACTGCTATGATCTTTCAGCCTTTGCCTCAGCTAAGGAGACTTCAGCATAGGCCCTTGCATAGTTTCCTGTCTAAATTCTACAAATGTCTTAGATGCCTCTTATTAATCTCATAGAGAGAAATACATAGTTTACAAATAGAAATAATTTTGTACAATAAGCCCAAAAGTTCACCTAGAAGTTAAGTCTGTTCCCCAGAAAATGTCCATGTGTACCCAATTATACATGACAAGAGAAAAATTCTGAGATACCCAAAAATTATCCAGCTGCCTTCCTATCGACACTTGCAGATTTACCACTTTCACATCATGCAATGAATAATGATCCTTGAATTGTTTAAATCACCCAGAGCTAGTAGAAAATTCAACACTGTAGTAGGGTCCAGCCTTTTCAACATCACAAACTTTTTGCTTTGGCTGTGATTGCTACAGGACTGAGTGGGATAGCTTCTATGTTTGCCCTTCAATCCATGTCATTAGAAGTTTCTCTCTGCTTGACTTTTTGTTAGTCTCCTTGTCTTCAAAGAAGCTGACACTTTAACAGCTCAAGCCACTTAGTTCTTGTTCTTTAAGATCACAATTGTGGTGAAAGGAACATGCCTGACCCATGACCAATAACCGTCATGGATTTTCTACCATCGTCATCTATAATCACTTTTAATTTCGTTTCCAGGTCAATCACTGGACATGGTCTCTTACTGGCAACATTAGCAGTGGATTTTGTAGGATTAGGACCCATGATGAACAAAACAACATGAGATTATATCAAGCACGAGAGAAAATGATGCATGCAAGAGATATAGCAAACACAAGATATATGAGGCTGCTGCCGGTGTAACACAGGCATACTATTTTTTTATAAGTATAAAGAATACATTCTAAATGATAAAAAGTATAGTATAATACATAAACCTATAACATAGTCTTTTATCATTATCAAGTATTATGTACTATACATAATTGTATGTGCTATACTTTTATACAACTGGCAGCGCAGTAAGTATGTTTACACCAGCATTGCACTACTACATGGTGATGGCTATGATGCAAGTATGCAATAGGAATTTTCAGCTCCATTATAATCCTATGGGACCACTGTTGTATATGGGGTCTGTCACTGACTGAGACGTTGATATGTGGTGCATGACTATAGAATATGCTCCAGTGATCATAGAAAGGTTGCTTTTATAAATAAAATTTTTTGATTGAATATGATTATGGAGAGACAAACATTAAGGAGGAATAGCAATAACAGAAAAAATTTCAGTCTGTTTCAGAGGGCTTTTAGACTGAAAAGTCTTCTCCGAAAAAATACTGGAACTTAATCTACTCTACCATCTCACTCAGCCTCTCAAAGGAAAGACATTTCTTGAAAAAGATCTTGTTACTTTCATTTAAAAGGGCAGGAGTCTCACATTTGCAAAACACCAACAAGAGAGTTTCATTCTGTAATAAACACATGAAATACATATTAAGAAAGTAGTTATGTATTTTAAAAATTTCTGATTGCTTTCATTTTCTCCTTGCAGTTTAGAGCTCACAGTCTACCATTTCCACTATGAATTCATAGCCACATGATCTCCCCACTCCCTGACTTACAGTAGCCTCCAATTTCCCTCTTTCTTCTACTGGGCTAAAAATTGTGCTCAGAGATATTATCCTGGTGTTCTTAGTACTTCTTCCATGTTATCAATCCTTTCAGTCACCTCTTGATAACTGTCCATCCAATTCCTCATATTTATTGCTCCAAATCTTTGCCACTTTTCTATCTTCTCCCTCCTAGAGGTATTGCTATTTCCTTTTAAGGTTAACAATGAATCATAATCCCAAATGTTCCCACCCATACATCTAAGTAGAAAAATGGATTTTATACTGTAACACACCTTTTCATTCCTAAAGCAAAATAGAAATCCTGATTAGAACTGAAACACTTGTCTATTAGTCACACTTCCTCTTAAGACAAAGAAAGGCAAAGTTATTACAAAATCAGAGTCACGAATCAGAATCTGAAGCACTAAATAGATGACTGATTCTTTTTTTTTACTCTAATTTATTTTTTTAAATAAATCTTTATTGTTCAGATTATTACAGATGTTCCTCTTTTTTCCCCCCATAGGTCCCCTCCACGCAGTTCCCACCCCACCCTTTGCCCTTACCCGCCCCCGTCCTCATTCATAGGCGTACGATTTTTGTCCAGTCACTTCCCACACCCCCCACACCCCTTTCCCCCCTGAGAATTGTCAGTCCACTCCCTTTCTATGCCTGATTCTATTATATTCACCAGTTTATTCTGTTCGTCAGATTTTTTATTCACTTGATTTTTAGATTCACTTGTTGATAGATATGTATTTGTTGTTCATAATTTTTATCTTTACCTTTTTCTTCTTCTTCTTCTTAAAGAATACCTTTCAGCATTTCATATAATACTGGTTTGGTGGTGATG